ACTGTGGTTCCTATGATCATTCTCGGTTAGGCTGGTGATATGGTTGCCTCCTATATTCGCTAAGGGTTAGGGTATTAAAATGGCCTGCTAGGAGTTCAGCCACCACAGTTTGGTCTTTCTCGACCTCGCCATCTTCAGATTTCAAACATATAGCATTGGTGTCTTTTGTCTTTGTACTGATGAATGGCCTGAATGTGTTAAAAAACTCGCTGGGCTTAGATTTCAGCTCTTCCGATTTTCTATACCAGTAGGCCTTTATTGCCTTTCTACGTTCCCGTGTTGCAATGTTCCTGTATTTTCGTTTGAGCTCAAAGTTTTCAAGAGAGCGATCCTTTGTAAATTGAACTGCAAATTTTCTCTTATCTCTAATGGCTTGCTTCCATTCTGGAGTCATATAAGGTATATCTTTCTCCCTGACTCGTTTCTTTTTAGTGGGTGCGTGTTGATCCAAAATGCTCTCAAACAGTCCCTTCTAATAATCATATTGATCGTCCACATTACAAAAAATCTCTCCTACATGCCAGGGGGCAGCCTCCAAGTCCCGGTTAAGCTGTTCGAAATCAGTACTTTTTGTCTGCCGGAAAGTGGTAGTGCGAGTCTTGCGTTTGTGGACTTTCTCCATCATTTCTCCAAACACCATATGGTGGTCACTCATTTCTGGCTGATAAACCCCAGATTTGTTGAACAGTTCAGGATTGTTGGTTAGGATAACGTCCAAAAGTGACTCCGAGTGAGCTGTAACTCGTGTGGGTTCAGTTATCATGCACTGTAGATTTTTGACTTCTTCTAGGTCCTTCAGAAGTTTCCCCTCAGCACGATCCAATCTCAATCTGTCCAGATTGAGGTCACCTAAAATGATGACAGACTGCTTTTGGAAACACGCCCACTGACAGATGTGGTTAAGCTCCTCCTCAACACTTTTAAGATCCTGGAGGTTGGACTCGTTTCCCTTCCTTTTCTGTTTTGGGGGCCTGTAGATTGACAGAACTAACAAATCATTGCTTCCTATCTTCACCTCGACAGCAATTGCCTCGAGGGTCTTGTAAGTCTTTGGCAGGGCCCGCTTCTTAGAAGGCAGAGCTGAAGAGAAGTATGCTAACAGTCCGCCTCCACCCTTTTTTCTGTCTTTTCTATACATGTGGTATCCTGGGAGGTTAAATTGACTGTTGGGATAGGAACTATCCACTTTTGTTTCAGATATTACTATAATATATGCTCTAAGGGAATTGTTCAATGTTTTTAGTTCTTCAAATTTATTTTGTATACTATTGATGTTTAGATGAACAATAAGGGCTCCGCTTGAATTCCTTTTCCTTTCCTCAACGATTACTCTCCCAGGGGATTCCCTTATGCAGGGTTTCATTACGTCCAATGTATTTGCATAAACAGCTTCGCCAGCATTGTTATTTGCATAATCATCTTCCTCCACACTGTTATTTATCGAAATAAATTCTTCTTGTAGACAATTTTTCAAGCATTCTTCTTGGCTAAATGGAAGCAAGCATAGAGAGCAGGTTCATTGTATTTCAGGGCAAACCTTGTACGACTTGAATTCAGCCTTTCTTAGGCCTATACATTTAACATGCGACCAAGTGTTACAATGAACACACAACAAGGCCTCTTGGTTTGACCGAACAGTTTTCTCGCACTCCTTACACGGGTTTTTCGGCATTCTCTTACTTGAAGGCCCTGGATTTGTATGTACATCGCCACCTAAGACAATTCGGCTAAGCTGTAGGGTCCTCGTATCCTTCTGAACGATAAATACATTTTGCCGTAACTCGCTCAAGTTCTCAAGCTCAAGCTCATCTTCAGTGGTATTAAAGCGGCCAGACGTTCTTGTCCTTCCTCGTTTTTTCCCAAATGAGCTGGTCCGTATAGGAGTTGTTTTTCGACTTTCTCCCGTATCATTAAAGCCGCTATGAGCGAGAACACAAAATATTTCAGCGAGCTCGGCACTGCTCGACCGGTCGCCATGATGACTGCAGAAAGGAAGAGAGGAAGATTTCCGTAGTCGCCAAAATGTTTGAGAGGATTGTGTACGATCAGTTACACAACTTCGTTTAAAAATAGTGAAGAAATCATTTCTAAACAACAATCTGGTTTCAGGTCTTTACACTCAACTGTTACTGCTCTTCTTGAAGCCACAGACAGTTGGGCGTTTAATATCGATCGTGGCTACTCAACGCCGTAGTGTTTCTCCACTTAAAAAAGGCGTTTGACACTGTTGATCATGAGATATTGCTAACTTAAATGAATCGGTGTGGTACTCCATGGAAAACTTTTGATTAGTTTAAATCGTATCTGACGAATCGCACACAACGGTGCTCAGTTAACGGTTGTCTCTCTGACTTCACCACCCTTAAATGTGGTGTGCTACAGGGAACGATCCTTGGCCCCCTTTTATTTATAATTTATATCAACGATTTACCTGTCTGTCTATCGTTTAGCGTACCTAGAATGACACCCACCTTATTTGTGCGGTTCTGATTTACATTTGATTCGGTCTAGCCTATCTCACGACCTTGACAAGCTAAGCAAATGGCTTGAGTCAAGGAGACTTACCTTGAACCCTTCAAAACCTGAATTTATGTTGATCGGCTCCAGGAAAAGATTTAGTACTCTATCTGATACACTCGAACTTTCCATAGATAATGTTGCGATTGAACCAGTTTCCTTTGTGAAATCCGTTGGAATATGTATCGATGAAAATTTAACGTGGCATTCTCACATTGATAAACTGTGTAAAAGGATCGCTTCCGCTATTAGAGTCACAATGCGAGTTAAGCCATTTGTGCCTCAACCACACTAATCAATATATACAACTCACTAGTTCAATCTCACTGTGATAACCGTAGCCGAGTCTGGGGTAATTGTGGCAAAACATTATCTAACAAGCTACAAAAAATAACTTCAAACTACGACGTAGATGTCGATTCCTTGATTTACAAACACAGCTGAAAAGACTGATACCTCATCGTCAAATTCAGAACGCCTTAATGGGTTTCAAGTCTTTTTACTGTCTGGTTCCCGAATATCTCACTTCTAAATTTATAGGGCGAAATGAATCAAACTATTCTTTGAAAAATAGGTTCAGTTAGAGCGGCGCAACCCTTTGGAAAGGCTTAACCAATAACATAAGAGAGTCTGATTCATTAAACCGCTTTAAACGCCTTCTCTATCATAATTTTTAAACACGGCATTCATTGGAATCAGGTTTTTAAGTGGCACATTGTTGTTATATAATATAAAGTTTGGATTAGGATTTTTTAGGTTCTTACGATATTAGTCATTGTATTGGAATTTTTCGTACCTTATGAAATTTTTACCGTGTACAAATATTGATTAAATAAATAAATAAATAAGATACTACTATGGCCTTTTCGGGGAGAATTTTCTATCATCAAATTGGTATCACGCAGTCTTCGGCCCTTGTTGTTTGAATTACAGGAATATGTATAGTTCTTTTGAGAACAGACAACAAAGATTTTTTACTTCATGGTCTGTTGAGTAGTGACCAAATTCAAATTACTTCGATTGTTTGCATCAAGTCACCGAAACTTCTTGAAAAACGGAAAAGGCTAATAGTTTGCATATCAACTAATTATCGCTGGGAATACAATGATAATGAAACTTTTCAATTATGATGATGACGCCGCTGATCGGCGGAAGTTTGGAGCTCCGATATTTTTATTTTCGAAGTGCTTCTGGTGGACAAAAAAAAATTTCTATCATCAAATTGGTAACACACAGCCTTCGGGCCCCTTATTGCACTGACTTACAGGAATATGTATAGTTCTTTCGAGAACAGGCGACAAATATTTTTTACTTCATGGTCTGTTGAGTCGCAACCATATTAAAATTACCTCGATTGTTTGCATCATGTCAATGAAACTTCTTGAAAAATGGAAAAGCTGAAAGTTTGCATGTCAACTAATTATCGGTGGGAATACAATGATTATGAAACTTTTCAATGATGATGACGACGCTGCTGATCGGCGGAAGTTTGGAGCTCCGATATTTTTATTTTCTAAGTGCTCCGGGTGGACAACAAAAGATTTTAAATAAAAGGCTCTTTGGAGGCACTTCATGGTATGTCTTAATTATTCAATAAAGTGGTGAGAGCGTTAACTCTTTCCATCTCCCCCCAATAGCGTGTGAAGTACCCCAAATAGCCAGTTGATTAATAACTTTAAAAGCGTTAGCCAGGGCTCTTAAACTCGGAACTAAAAGTAAACCATACGCGTGATGACAACAGATACAAGATGAAGTTTCAAGACAATGATTATTTGCTGGTCAGACAAATTGATGGCCAAACAATTACAAATATATTGCTTTTACTTGGGGTAGAAGAGCACAGAACACATCATCTGAATGGGACGTGCAGCATATAAAATTAATCACCCAAGGGTAAACTCACAGAATGAAAATGTGTGATTTGGAATCGTGCCCACAATTACTAGCTAATTAAGTAAATGTTTTTGGGTTCGAAAACTGAAATTTGTAAATATAAGCTTACTTGCATGTATGTAAAATTGGTAGTCTAGAAATGTGAAAACATGCAAATATGCAAATAAGTCGTAAGTTTACTCACATGTATCTTAGCTTGGTAGTCTGGAAATCTAGAAATCTGGAAATCTGCATGGAAACATTCACGAGCAAACTGCGCGACGCAGAGAAAGGTCAAATAGAATGAAATCTTAAAACCCTGAAAAATCGATAAATCAGCTGCCAAAGATGAGCAAAAATTAGCTGTAGTATACATGACCTGGCACTCAAATTGATACGCAGAAATCAACCAAAAGATGTGTTTCTCGTTACTTCGTGGATCTTGGCGAAAAGCTTGACTTAAAGCGCGTACACATCGTTGATAGCCTCAAAATTATTTTCCATGAGCAAGTTTGTAAAACATTCTGGGCTATTAATACAAGAAGGAACTTGTTGTACATTGACTTAATCGACTAATCTTTTTTTTTGTCTCCACCTACCAAACAAAGACGCTCTCTGGAATATTAGGTGAAAAAGGTTTAGCCAAGTCTTTAACAGGATTCAAAACCGATGTTCTTGGACGGATGGATGATTCAGAAGCCAGCAATGAAGGTTTTTTATGTTCATAAATTCATATATCGGTATAAGTTTTACTCATTATCCCTTCCAAGTCGTTACTTGTTATTATTAAATATGGAACAGGGAGTTATAATTATTGCGGCTTTTTTAAGTCACAATTTTTGTTCAAATGATGTTTACTTGTTTTGCAGCCACCGCTGGTGGTAAACAGTTTAAACAGGTTCCTGTCGCTGAAATCCACATAATTTCAATATGTGGCGAAGTAGGAGCAGAATGGAGACACCTGGGTACAGTCTTAGGGCTTCAATCATCGTTGCTTGATTTTAATGAGAATGTCAACTGCACATATTATAACAAGACATGGGAAATGCTTCAAGAGTGGAGACGAGAGACTGGAAAAGGAGCAACAGTGGGAATCCTCATAAATGCTCTTGAAACGATAGGAAAGAGAGACGTCGCCGAAAAACTGCGTGGTATGTAACCTCATTTTGTAAAGGAAATCTCTCTATTTACTTTCATAACGAAAAAACTGAACACCTATGTAGGAAGAGATCTTCGCACGAAAGTCTTTGCGGCCTTGTCAAGGAGGTTTCATTTTAGACGTAGATCGCGCCACGAACCTTTTTTTTTTACCGTGCCTGTTGTGCCATCCTTCTAAGATGGCCGGACGCTCTATGTTGCATTGTGTCGTATAAGTCCGTAAACTTCCCCCAACCCTTCGCGGTTTTCAAAATGGCGGAGTATCATGAGACATTCATAACGTCTCTTGCTGCTCGTCCTGGTTCAGCTCCGATACTGGCCATCATTGAACGAATCCGATCAGGTGTCTTCGCATTCAGTTTTGGTTTTGTCGGGTTTAGTTCGAAGTTTGCTCGAGGTCTCATCTCTGCATTTTGACATTGTTATCGATTTGAACGTAAAAGATATCTATTTGAGTTCTCTCACATGTGCGTTTTAATCTCAACACGTCTGACATATCCTTTGAGGAAGGATGTAAATTGAAAGAAACAAAAGAAAAAAAGCAAAGTAAAGACATCAAAAAGACAGCAAAAAGTTGACGCGGCCAGGGCTCGAACCTTAGCTCATACTTTCGGACTCGAAAGGAATGGGTACATCCATCGTTCTAAGTACGAATAGCGTGCAAATGCTGGTGAAGTTTTGTGTGAAAATACATTTGACGGACATTTGATACATGAACCCATTCGATTAATTTGTTGCCCTCGGCCTGTCAATTAACCAGTGTACAAAATCTGTTCTATCCAAGTTCCTCCTGTTGTCTAAATTTTGGCAACGACAAGAGCTTTTCATTAACACCTTTACATTTTATACCACGTTAATGCAGTACTCTACAACTATACAACGATGGGCACATGCAGTGCCTTTTATATTAAGTTACACCAAGAAAGGGGTATCTTAGGGTTGTGTCTGCGCACAGTTTTTAAGGTTGAAGCATTGTTGTGGAAGCTTAGAGACCTTAAACTCGAGTCAGATCTCATAATAATTGAAGAAAATCTAAATTGAACTAGTTTACCACTGTAATTGCACATGGCAGCATTTGAGTTTTTGCTGGGGCAATGTTAACGGCTTGAAGAGCCAGCAACCTTACTACCGTGTACATCTGGAAATCTTTTGCCCTTTTTTATTTAGAAACGAGAAATGTGCAGAAAAGGTTAGGCTGCGCTCGGGCACTGAGTGTGAATTTACAGAGAAAACTGGAAAGTTTCGGGAAGGTTCTAAATGCAAATATCTAAGGCATAGAGACAAAACTCTCACGACACGAAATGTGCATCTCAACTAGAGATAGCGATGTGGAAAATCTGAAGCAGGAAAAGGCCTACTTGAAAGAGGTTGTACAGGTTGTGCGGGAGAACATCAAAATGATATCCTAAATTGGGGAAATCATTTGAACCCGAGAATAGTGCATTGGATGAAACGACCGAGAGGCGTGCGAGAGCATGGCAGATTAAATTCGGGTTGGCAAACCGAACCAAGAGAGACAATGCACACTCTTAAGTTCAATTCTTTTGAACAGAAATGAAATTCTTTCTGATTCATGGCTCTTCAGAGAAGAATCTATTGTTCCAGATTCTTTGTCTCCAGAGCAGAATTATAATTCTTAGGAGGAGAAATCTGGTCCTTGAGGAAAGAACTGTGGGTCTTCTCCCAACATTAAGAATTCTTATGAGAAGAATCTTATGTATGTCTCATTCTTGTTAGAAGAATACTATTTTTTCCCACAAGAACAAAATTCCTTGCCATGAACCAGTTAACGAGGAATCATCGTCAACAATCGAATAACAAATGTCTTAAGGATAAAGACTGGGACCATGTGTGCTGAGCTAAAGTGAACAAAAAAGAACCGTGGATTTTTCGGTGTTAAGAGACTTACTGTTATTTTATCACGAGCTTGATTATTACTTTATTGAAAAGGAAAATCAAGATTTAAAAGTGGAGAAGCGAGAATGAAATTACCAAGCAACAGAAACTTGAGGAAAAACTCGACAACACAGAGAGAAACTGCAAGTATCACAAAAATACTAATGTGGTGAATTTTCACTCGCTTTGTGACTTTGTCTACGGCTGTCACAACGACAGGATAAAGTTTACGGTCGTTGGTTTTTGTTCTTGTCTTCTTTCTGAATAAAAGTCATGTAAGAAAGACCCCGTCGGAGTAGCCGCCCTGTTTGCAGATGGAAATTGCCACTAATGCGGTTGATACTCTAATGCGCAGCGCAGTAGGAAGAGCGTTGTCCACGCCAGCCTGGACATCAGTTGGAGCAAATGTTCGTGCTTATTGGAAATAAGGTTGATATGATGGTAGACAGTCAGCCCTCCTGAGCTAAAAATTTACTCAATATATCATATGCTACCTCTGCAAAACGCCTTCTCTATCATAATTTTCAAACACGGGTCAGGTTTTTAACTGGCACATTGTTGTTAGTTAATATAATGTTAGGATTAGGATTTTTAGGTTCTTAGGATGTTAGTCATTGTATTGGAATTTTTCGTACCTGATGAATTTTTTACCGTGTATAATAATTATTAAATAAATAAATATATAATATACTATTATGGCCTTTTCGGGGAAACTTTTCTATCATCAAATTGGTAACACAGTCTTCGGTCCTTATTGCACTGAGTTACAGGAGAACAGGCAACAAATGTTTTTGACTTCATGGTCTGTTGGGTCTCAACCAAATTAAAATTACTTCGATTGTTTGCATCATGTCACTGAAATTGACGGCCAAACAACTACAAATATATTGCTTTTACTTGGGGTAGAAGAGCACAGAACACATCATCAGAATGGGACGTGCAGCATATAAAACTAGTCACCCAAGGGTAACCTCACAGAATGAAAATGTGTCATTTGGAATCGTGCTCACAATAACTAGCTAATTAAGTTTATTTTTTGGGTTCGAAAAATGAAATTTGTAAATATAAGCTTACTCGCATGTATATAAAATTGGTAGTCTAGAAATGTGGAAATATGCAAATAAGTCTTAAGCTTACTCATATGTATCTCAGCTTGGTAGTCTGGAAATCTGGAAACATTCACGAGCAAACTGCGCGACGCAGAGAAAGGTCAAATAAAATGAAATCTTAAAACCCTAAAAAATGTAGCTACATGGCCTAGCAGTCAAATTGATACGCGAAAACCAACCTGAAGACAAGAAGTTAGGACTTAATGTTTCCATACCTATCGCTGGGACTGTTGTCATCGTCGATTTTAAGACTTTGAAGTTCATGATGAGTATTCTTCTGCACGCACACTCTTCGTTTGTGGGGTCTACAAAGGCGATTTTTGATTAAGGATGGAGCAAAAAGGAGGAGAAATAATCTTGAACAATTTCGCCGAATTATGTTGAGAACTCCATCCTTGAACTCAGGCAAAAATTTCCTCCTTTGTTCCACCCCCCTTAGCTCGAATTGGGGGACAGAAACAAACCTAGTAGAGTAGGCAGGAAATAACGTGTTCAATCCAAGTTTTAATGCATAAATTAATTGTCCAGTAGATAGGAGAATGGTGTGTGTGAGCGAGTAAGTGAGTTGATTTTCCATCCACACATAAATCGCCGGGTATCATAGTGTGACTACGTCATACCGTGAAATAAAAATTCTGCAATGAATGCTATTGGGATACTGATCAAGATGCTAGTGACAGGAGTACTCTGGTTTCTTCTGCTCATGTTCCCGACCCCTAACCCCTAACATAATGTGACAAATGTTTCATATTTGAGGATATATAGTATGTTTAGCTACCTTCTGAATTATTGATCACGAGTTTTTCATGACTTAGAGGAACTTTGCGAAGAGCTTGACTTAAGCAGGTACAAAGGAGTAGGTGATCGCTGGGGATTGTTAGGTGAGTCATTCAGATTTGGTAAAGTAATTTATTTTTTATTATTATTATTATTATTATTATTTTATTTCATTTTGTTTCATATTTTTTTTTGAGTGGGTTTGATCAAGAAAGAATTTTGCATGCTTCTTTTTTTGTGTGTTTGTTTTTGTTTTATTGGGGGAGGGGGTATTTGGATGGATTTTGCCAGAAATTTGCATTTTGCGATACAATAGACTGTGCTTTGAACGCAAATTTCACCTTTGAAAAGCGGCTGCAAAGAATTCAGAGGCAACTTTTCTTCTGATGACAAGCTGACGTTTTTCTTCCTTTCAGAAAAGGAAATAAAGAAAGCAGCACCAATAGCGACAGTTATTTCTTGTGGAAAAGAGGTATTTTATAACGGCATCAGTCTCATTGCAGATGAACAACAGAAGATCCAAAGTCTATTAAGGATTACAGAACATTAGACGTATTATGATAAATCGAGAGTATTTAATCAATATACAATAGCGTGTGAAGTTGACATGTTAACCCAATATTTGCAGCTAATACTGCAGGTATAATGTCGAGTTCAAAGTCTGTCTAGTTTTGAAGCCCCTACACTTCCAAAATTTTCCAATATTAGGGGGAAATTTCTTCTTTTGCAGATTTGTTTGTTTAAAAAATGTTTGATAAAACAATCGTTAAATTAAGTTTTCGCAATTATCAAACTTCGTGTTTGCGTTGATAATTCATGATATCATACTCAACCTCATCCAATAGTTGCTTATTATCCTTTTTCACCACGATTAAAATCTTTTCTTTCGCGTAATCAGTGGATCCCCTGAAAAAAGGCACATGTACTCTTATCTCAAAGAAGTCATTTTGACACGTCAAAGAATGGCGCACGTTAGGAAATATGTTAGACTTTCAAGTTTATCTGCTTAGGGATATGTTCAATTTTCTCTTTCAACTTAAAATGCAAAAAGGAGGAAAAATACAGCGAAAGGAATTTAGAACTCAAAATATTCAGAATTTTTCTTTAAATTTGACACATATTTTTCATCTATAAAGTAGAAGATTGGGTAGTCTGAGGGTTTTTGCCCTGTATTCCTAATCGAAAGGTCCGAGTAGAAGCCTTGGCTGAAATTTTTGTGTTGAGTTCTTGGTTAAGCCATCATGCCCAAACAGTAAATATAATACTTCAAGTTGCCTAAGCGGTACAAGTAATGTTAGTTGATTTACTTCTTTTCCTACTTTCTAAAGAAGCTAAAATCTTATCTTAACTCCACAGCATCCTGATAAGCCTTCTCACTATGCAAAAAAAGAGTGAGTTGTTTTCCCAAATTTAATTATCTTTCGACCTTAAATTGAACAGACAATTTTAAAAGCGAACCAGAATTATTGTGGTCTCTTTCGACCACACATCATAATCACAAATTATTAAATAGCAATCTCCCCAGGCTGAAGAATACATTTCAAAATATAGGTCACCATTACAAACAGAATATTGATATCATGTGAAAGATATTTCGTAGGGAACCCATTTTAACATTTTTGACTAGTCGTCTTAATTTCCAACAAACGTACGCAATATTATTGCGGCTATAGTGCTTCAAATAAGAAGTAGTTTCCAGGATTTTATAGTTAATCGCAGAGAACATTTTCAGTGCTGTCTAACAGACTAGCCAATTCCCTTCATTATCCATCCTTTGTACTGCGCTATAGAACGATTCGATATAACTGAATTGACATATTTTTCCAGATTTCATGGTGACATGACACGATCTGAGGCTGAAGATCTTTTGTCTGAGGCTGTTGATGGCGCCTATTTTGTTCGGAGAAGCGAAAATTTACCTGGAAAGTGCGTACTTTCGATAAGGTACTTATACCCTGTAATTTACTAATATCAACTGAGTTGATAACGTACATTGGCCACCGTAAAGAGTTTAAAGGCTGACGTTTCGAGCGTTAGCTCTTCTTCAGCCCTTCGTTAGCCCTTCGTCAGCGTTAGCCCTTCGTCGCTCTGACGAGGGGCTAGCGGTCGAAACGTCAGCCTATAAACTTTACGGTGGCCAATTGAAGTTATCAACTCACTTGATTACTCTTAATTACCCTGTTATACTCTCCCATCGACACAGCACCACAGTTTCTATAAAAACTTATCCCCTTTATCTATACCCCGTATTTCTTCAGTAGTTTTAGCCTGTAAAGTAAATTTAATTTACCGAACGTCACGATTGATTGTACCTGTAAATCACGAAAGATACGGTAACGCTAATAATGGTAATAGGACCGAGTGGAGTCCAATTTGGTCTGTAATCACGAGCATGGTTACGGAAAGAATTGGACGACACAAAGTCTTTTTATCAATTAATCATAACCGCTACAATTTCTGAAAACGGCAAATACATTTCGGTAAATATCTCCAGTAGAGACAAAGTCTAAAGGAAAAAAGGATAAGTGGTTGTTGTTATTGGTTATTGTGATCAATTCTGGGATTGGTGGATTTGGCTAAAAGGACTAAGTGTGATTGGCTGCTTTAACTGTCCGATTACAACCAACTGTCCGATTACACTGTTCGATTACAACTATACAGAATGATAAGTGAAAAATAAGGCAGCTCATGCACCAATCACATTCGAGGAAATTGTAGTGGTTATGGTTATGTTACTGAGTTTTGGCAAGAATGAATTTGCAGTCACCGTTGTACACTAGGGTGATTGGAAGAACATTTGAAAGGCGTGTGATTCACATGCCTAAATGAGCGGCCCGTGTTTAACCCTTTAACTCCTAAGGGTGACTAGCATCTAATATCTCCTTACAATATCACCTCAAAATCACACATCAAGGTCACCAGCTAAAGAAGCTCTTGATTGTTAAACAAATTATCCTTGTCAGCGTTTTAGGAAATGTACAGAGAACTGTATGGAGAATATTGATACCGATGTTAGGGTGTAAAGGGCTAACCTATTCTCGTGTTCTGAAAAGATTACGCAAGAGGCAAGTTACATTTTCGGACGTATAATCAAGCGGACACATCTTTAAACCTTTGGGGTTCAACCAATTCTCGAAGAAATTAAGGATGTCTTCGATATTTCATACTGTTGCTATGTTGATCCGTTGTGTCAGGAAGATAATCATAACATGAATTTCTCGGCCTTCAGTTTGATCTATTATTGCTTACGCTGTATCGATCAGATGGTGCTCAGATGTTCTTTCGCATTTAATTTTATTTAAAACTTTTACTTTAACTTTGCTTGTTTTTATAGACATAGTAATTCTAATATCAAGCACTTCCCGTTGTCTTACACAAATGGAATACATTGCTCAGGTAGGTGAACCAATTAAAGGTGGCAAAAATCCAGACCGTGGTCCGTATTGTTAAAAGCTGGACCGATTACGAGCGCGCCATTAGGCAATCAGATTCAAAGATTTAAGATTCAGGACTGCTGTGATGGTTCACCGCATCACGCAGTTTGATCCACATGTCCTATATAACATGTCTAGGGTAAACTATCAATTGACCTCTTGACATGGAAAATTGAACTAGGAGTAAGATAATGTAAGATCATCGGCAGTAATGATACCTTAACTGAGGAAGGTTTCAAGGTTTTGGTGACGTCCTTGGTCAAACGTTCAAATAGAAGCCATTGTAATTGCTACAGTAGCGTTGACGCTATGCCTGTGGATAACAACGCAAAAAAATTCTTCTCCAGCTAATATTAATACATTCGTGGGGTTGATAAAAAAGCAGTATCGCGACCTTTCCCCCGTAAGTCGATCGTTGCAAACCGTTTATGATTAGAGAAATGAACTCGTCTAACTCTTCAAAATTAATTGGAGCGAAAAGAGAACAGGAAATTTCGATTTATTTCAAAAACACACAAATTAAACAAACAAAGAGGACAAGGACTCCATTTTTTTCCAGCTCAATTCCAAAACAAAGACAAGGTCTTGCAATTCCCCTTTCCCAACTATTGACTACTTTGAAGATTTTTTTCCTCTGTGGCCCCTGACCATCCTCACCAATATCCTGTTTGATTGCACATGCCACGCACATTTTTAAAGGCCTCTGATTTACCTGTAGCACCTAACCTTTCCAACCGACCCATATCGTAATTTGTGTATGGTGTGTCAGGAGAGGGATTACATTTTACGGCGAGACAGATGTTTAGTGTATTTGTTTTTTCATAGACGATTTGGCGTTTAAAAACCTAGAGGATCTTGTCAATAACATCCTAAAAAGTGATCACCTCAACGATTACGTAGACGACTTTACCGCCATACATCTGAAGAGGACAAGCTTTGAAAGAAATCAGGTGTTTATTTGTTAAACTAGGAGATGATTCATTAAATTTACCATTTTGGGGACCTTAGTTTTGAACCTGCGCTCTTTTAAGACCCAACAAACATTGAAACAACGCCTGGTCATGAGATAAGATGTCATGGTGCCTGATATGAGAAGGCGCCTTGCCATACTTCGGTAAAGGGCTCTCAACTTCAGGGGCCCCCAATTATGAACGGTCATCGGAGGAGGTTTTAGTAATATCCACAATAATCAAGGCCTTCGGCTTCGGCTTATAATCCCTACCTCGACCTTGATAATTCTGATTATCACAAAGACCGAATCTAATAATTGTTTTATTGTACACTAAACAAAAGAAAAAATGGTCACGACAGTAAGTGGAACGGATAATTTATCTCTAAACTTGTAAAAATATACAAATCAGCGACACATTGACGAAAAAGTTTATCCATTAGACAATATGAAAATTGAATAAAAACTGGTTGAGGAAGTAAATAGCAATTATTCATTTTAACTGAAGAAAACATTACAATTGTAAAAACGAAGTTCAACTATTTTTTCAATGTCTTGCTTAGCGAACGAAGGAAACCTGGTAGTCATGTTTTTGCTTCTTCACTTACGACAAGCAACACAAAGCGCACGAACTTGACATGATCACCCAAAGAAATCATGCACCGCGGTCGTACATGACGTGATTACCCGTGACCTTGAGTGACCTCGACATCATTATTGTATAATCTGCAGCTACATAACGTCTCAGGTACTGATTTCGAAAATTCCCTGTACACTTTCGGCCAATCAAAGAAGATTAAGTAAGTTGAATGTATAATATTACTTATGGTCGGAGTGTCCGTAGGTAGGGTTTAAGTCGATTCCAAAAGCCGATAGGGGAATTGGCAAGCTTGTATCACAGATAGTGCTCAAGACATATGGAAAATTAATACAACCTAGCTCCGGTAAGTAGGCTACTTACCACCTTGTGCAAAACTACGCGTTCCGTCAGACTTAGGTCTCTATTGGGAATGGTAACAAAGACTCAAATATTGCCGATCATTTCAGCATTAATTGTTGCTATGAACTGAACTGCTCATTCTACAATACAGATTGAAGGAAAGTAACAATCGCAAGGAATAAACTCGTAAAGTGTTGACTCGTAAAATGTTTTCGTCCGCTAACCTATGCGAATATGAAGTAAAACAAAGACTCAAATATCGCTGTTCATTTCAGCGTTGTTCGTTGCTATGAACTAAACTGCTCATTCTACAGAACAGATTCTAGTAATTATAAGCGGAACACTTTCAGTTATCAGAATTTTTCACACATATCAGAAAAATACATCAAGTTCTCTTAGTTTGATTTATTGTATAAAAAACAACCTGAAACTTTTACAGCGGATTTTTTTGTTTATTGTTAACCACGCGAACAAAGCGTTTGGGCAATAACCCCCAAAAAAAATCAAGCACAGCTTTCAAGGAAAGAAAAACATCGTGCAACTAGCAAAAGTCCCCCCGCCCCCGCCTCAAGAGTCTAAGGGCCCGTCTTAAAGGTACTTTTTACATAATTCCAAAAAGAGTTTCGTTCCGGAACGAAAGGAATTTCATACCGAGTTTACATGCAAGATAATTTAGCCTGTAAAAAAAAAGTATTTATGCCCTTTTCTGTCTTTTTCGACGCTTCCTTCGCTCCTAAGGAGGATTCATACAGATATGAGTGTCGTGCCGCGTTTCACTCAGGTACAAAATAAATATTTCTTTGCCAGCTTTAATAATGACAGGGGATTAAGTTTAGATGATAAAACAAAGGATTATGTTGACAGAAATACCGAAGGTCAACTAAATTCGTTACATGAGGTCACACAACTCAAGTAATATTCATGGTGAAAATTTGCATATTTGAGCGGTCGAACGAAAAAAATCATTTTTCGAAAACTAAAATATATTTTCACAAAAAAGCTACACCACAATTATTAGGGCTACAAAATATGAAAGTAGGAGTAAAAACGAATTTTGGGCGACTTGCAAAAATATTTCAAATTTGTTCGATGGATGCAGACACCTCCCTTAAGAACGAAATGACACGCTAGTTGCAGCTGAGTGCGATTATCGCTGATGTTCTTGCCGTGTTTAACGTCTTCGCAAATGTATTATTGAACAGAGGCTGGCAACACGGAATCTAGTTGTTTATATTTTATGAGTTAAATTATGCACGCATTTTGATCGGTTCTCAACTATGATCTATTGGAGAACAGACGCATAGATAACGCCACCAGTAACAACAATTTTGCTTCTATTACATCATACAAAAACATTTTATGTTGCCAAGGTTCTGTAGAGTGAAACATCACAGGAGACGTCAAATTGTGGTAAGGACACCAGTGACACACTCGACTGTGCATCACGTGGCACTTTTTTGTTCTTACCACATTTTGACGTCATCTGCGATCTATTAGGTGTGTGAATACTCACACGCACTCTCATACACTTCAGACCGAAGCTGCACACTTAATTCTAAAAGAACAATGCATTTTTAGATGGAAGAGGATTTACATCCCTTGACGATCTTGCGAATCATTGTTTGACTGTTCTGTACCAAGAAATGTGCGCACAGAACATAAACCAACGAGTGAAGGGCTCGTATTCTGAGACAAGAGTTGAGGTTCGTGTCGTTTTAGTTTCGAGCAATAGCCTTGTAGTCATTATTTCACGAAGATCTCGTTCAAACACGGTGTTCATGGTGATCATAAGATACGCGTTTAAATTTTTAGAGGTCGAGGAGGGAAAAGTTCTGAAGAAAACCAAAACATTATCATAAGGCAACGGCTCAATGATCCTCTCGTTTTCCTTGATGATTTCTTCCGTTACTGGAATCCATCATCACTATTAACATCAACGACTGGATTGATTTTTTTTAGACTTCCTCTGACAGTCATACTCATAATGAAGATATTATGATCAGGTAATGGCAGTTCCTTGTAGGTTGTTTAGCAATTGCCATAAAAATGGGTGGAACAAGGTCAAAGAATAATCTGGCAAGTAACTTCAAGTTGGCCGATCGCATTGCGCAAGGCTAATTTGAAATTTCGAGCACGATCACCTTTGAATTGTACAACACAAAAAGTTTTACTACCAACCTAATGTGTACCAACAACGGGCAAAGACTTGATAATCGAACGTAATAGAGGATATTTCACAAGTTCTATCCCTAGGAGTTAAGGTTTCCTTTGAACCGTGTCTTTAGCAGTTTTTATGTTAATTTCCTGCACGAAAACGACTTAGCGACCTATTGGATGTATTTGTATCAGAAATTTGACAGCTAAAAAACTAACTGTTTTTTTATGTATGTATATATATATATATATATATATAAGTAGTGACCAATACAGCATGGAACAAGGAAACAGAAGCGATCAAAATCATGGAAAAGGTATGTTCACCAGAGTCAGACATAATAAGCAGCTGTAATGTGACTTATACAAAACGTGAATGAGAGTAGTTCTGGAATAAGGACAGTGATAATTTACTCTTTTCTATTATTCACTACTCTCCATATTTATGCTAGTAAAACATGGAACCGCGATAAGAGAGGGAAAAAGAGGTTTATATATTTTTTTTCTAATTATAGTCAATAGTCAAACACCCCATCCATAAGTTATCCGTAGTGAGATAAGTTTTTCCACCTGCAGTTCCCCCGGAGATTCTTGCTCGTGGATCCCTGACCCTCCTCGCTTACCATAGAGCCCTTCAAGAGGGAAAGACAACTGTGAAGAGAGTGCCTATGATGTTTATTGGCCAAGGCCAAGCAGGAAAAACCAGTTTAAAGAAGTCACTTAAAGGAGAGCAGTTCGATCCAAACGAAAGAAGTACCACAGGGATAGAGACAGATCCCTCTTACTGTAAGATATCAACAGAGGTTTGGGAAGTAGGTGAGCGATCTGAAGAAGAAGGTTCAATTCCATTGCCATTTTCATATGAACACAGTACCGCTCAGTATATTTTGGATTATCTCGAACGAGAGAGAGAAGAGCACAATTCAGGAGACCTGGCTTGGTGTGCAACGGACCCATTATTTTCAGATCAGCTCGTGGAGGAATCCTGCACCAAGAAAGTCTCACATGATAATCTTCACACAATGCCCGGGGAAGCAGGAAAGGGAGACGTGCTGGAAATATCAGATACGTCTAGTAAGCCTGACTTCTCTGAGACTTCGTGGATACAAAGTCAGCGAGTACCGGAAGAGGTATCAACATTGATCGAGAAGTTGCTTAAAATGGATGACAGCAGGAAAGATAACGATAGAACCTATTCCGTCCTGTGGGATTTTGGTGGACAATCCGTCTATTACGTCACTCATTCCGTGTTCCTCACCGTGAGAGCAATTTACTTTCTGGTTTATAACCTTAGTTGGGGTCCTGATGAAGTAGCCAGCCATCCAGTTAGGCAAGGTGTCTTCAATATTCAAGATGGTTCTTGCGATAAAACTAACAGGGATTATCTCGACGTATGGATGTCCTCAGTGTCTTCCTTAGTTTCCCAAGACGAAGTCGCACAGAAGGCAGCTACATCTGAGACGTCACAAAGAAGGCCCTTGGTATTTCTTGTTTGCACGCACGCTGACAAGACTTACAAGAAAAAAGATCCTGAGGAGATGGCTCGTGATTTGTTTACATCTTTAAAAGCCAAATGCTACGGTGCGCATTTGCTAAACTACTTTGTTGTGGATAATACGAAGTCTGGTGGTAAATTGGAATGTGCAGGTGTTACACATCTCAGAAAGGAGGTCTCTCATGTTGTCAAGAAGCTTCCACAAATGAGGGAGGTTTTACCGATCAAGTGGCTAAAGTTCGAGAAGGCCTTACAAGGCATTCTTGAAGATGAAGTTAGGTGGATCTCCCGCGATGAAGCTTGGAGAATCGCAAACAAGGAATGTGGAATTTCGAGTGAAGTTCAGTTTCAGGCATTACTGACCTTTCTGCATGACCAGAGAAGTTTGATCCATTTCGATGACACTCCAGAATTGAAGAAGATTGTTATCTTGGATCCGCAGTGGCTAATAGAAATCTTCAAAAAAGTCATTGCCATTAAACCTTCGGAGAAAAAAGGAAAGAAATTCGAGGAACTGTGGATAAAGCTTGAAACAACAGGAATTATGGACGAGAGACTATTACAGCATGTGTGGCGCCCATTGTTTGACACTGAAGAGACATCTTCCAGCCTCGTGGCGTTGATGGAGAAGTTCTGTTTGCTGTGTCCCTGGCCCTCTTCGTCTGAAAAAAACGTATTCAATGAATACCTTGTACCTTCCATGTTGATGTTTCCACCAGAGGAGGACATCAATCAGCTCATTGCCTCTTCAGGTATTCCACCTCTTTTTGTAAAGTTTGCATCGGGCCAAGTTCCCCTCGGCCTGTTCTCTCGCCTTGTGCTGATAATATTTCAGTGGTGCACCAAAGAGTTTGGCAGCCAGCCGCGGCCTAAACTCTGCCAAAACTTTGCAAGATTCTTTACTCACCCTTCACAGGGCTGTTCTATAATCCTTTTATGCCGTTCCTCTGTCATAGAGGTTGTCGTTCACAGGACAAAAAAAAGTCCATTTGAAGAATCAAATTGCAAGACAGACCAGGAAGATGTGGCACAAAAGGTATGCCGGAAACTAGGTTTAATTCTTGAATGCATGCGTAGAGAGTTCCACTGTTTGAAGAATATGGCGTACGAAATGTTACTATGTTGTCCAGTTTGTTGTACAAGAGAGTTTGCAAGTCACTGCCACAATCATAATGTGCGTCGTTGCAAGGATGAAAAGTGTTTGCATTTCTGGTCAGAGTCTGAGTTACGCGACTGCCAGGAGCCCCTCATATGTACGAGGTCTGCTGTTGTTGACGACTATAGAGTTCCAGTCAAGCTTATGGGGGTTTGGTTTAGCAAACAGGTAACGAAAATATGTTAAGGCGTGTCTTATTTTTGGGAAAGCAACATTTCGGCAATATCATACTGAAAGCTTAAAACTAAAATCATTTGTGGTCGAAAAAGTAAAAGCCTTTCTATGGATTACTTTCTGCAGTCAGAGGATTTAAAATGAGGCTCACTTCCGCCGGTTAAAAAACGCCTGGATTCTTGATTTTGGTGGAAATCCATTAAGAGACACAAACGTGATATCTCATTAACGAAAAGAATGATGGTGGAAAATGTCACTTCACGATATCCTCAGTAGATTTCCGACGAATGATCCGCGTTAAAGTAGAATACATGTCTAAATGATTTGAAGGATTTCATTGATATTGGCATATCATTGAAAGCGGCGAAAACATATTTACAGGGAACGGTGAATTAAATTGTAGTGACAAATAAATTTTCCCTCATTTTCAACAGCTAAATGTAAAGGGACTCGGCTCCAAAGCTAATTTGTATCTTGGAGATGTGATCGAAGGTAAACCAATTGTAGTTTTAGAAATTGACATTTCGTCAGCTTTAAAAGAGCAATGAGGTGATATTCGTGGTTTGTTGTAGAAGGGAATATTCTTAGATATGAAAATGAAATCTTCGAGTTTGTAGTTGTCTATTCTAGGTATGAATTAAATGTTATTCATCAACTTATTCTTTACTTATATCTGTCTCTTTCAAAGGTTCTTTTATAGTTAGAGATATAGACAGGAAACAAATTCTGCCTTTTCCTCCCTAAGCGCCACAAGAAGCTAGAAAGCTATGCGTTCGGTATCCTGTTGCCCTAAGCGTATTCCTTTTTGTATCTTTTCCTTTTACTTTGAACAGATGATGACGAGCAAGCCCTTGCCCTCTCAAATACGGTGCTGTTGGAGAACTCCGATGCTAATCATGTTGTTGCTCAACTACTAAAGATTCGCTCATGGAAACACGAAGCACTTGAAGAGCCAGACTTAAAGACAAAGCGCCAGATTCGCTGCCTTTGTTTGCAGGCGAAATCTGTAGAGAGACTTGATGTTGTTGAAAGGTTTCGAGAGATTACACCTGCTGGCACAACAGGTATGATGGTTTTAATTATGCTGAATGCAGACAGCTGGAGAGGATAATTTTATCGAATCACGCTATAGAAAAACTTGACGACACATAACATGTCATTCGCCGGTGATTTGTAAATGCCGAGTGGTTAGTATTCCTCTAAGCGATCGATTTTATTTAATGTTTCCTCTGCTCCATTTGTGTATCGCTTTGGTGAATTATCCGTGACATTTAAATAAAAGCGAGATTGATTTAATTGGCGTCTCATTTTATTCCAAGGAAGTATTTTCTCTTTACTACTTAGGTCCATTGTTACCTGAAGCTTGTGACGTGGCTAATATTCCCATCAGACAGAGAGAGAATCTGACGATTCATTTATGCGGTAAGTACTAAACAGAAGTTGGGTGACGTGACACTTGTGCATTCACAGTTAGGCTTAAATTGAAAAAGGAGACGAAAGGATTAGGGTGAAAGGTTTAAGGAGAGAGTGTACTAAGTTTGTGACGTGTTGCTGGCGACGATAAACAATAAAACAAAGATTTGACGAGAGTAGAGTGTACCCTACAAGTTTGGTACAGTACACTAATGTGGTGACTTTAGGCATTCATAATTTCAAGGAGATATTTATTAAGATCGAACATTACAATCAAGTGTCGTAAACCACAGAAATCACTTTGGACAATTTGGGCAAGGAAGCAATAATGTAAGAGACCTCAGTAAAAAAAACAAATCACGCAAACTTCTTGAAGCGTGGCGTGGCGTGGAAAGTTCACAAATGATTACATGTAAGTCGCAAATGGATTTGATTTTGCATTTTATTTGGTAGTGCGAGTTTTCTTGACTAATCGCGGACCAATTTAAAGCCAAACGGAACCTTTTCCCTATGGTTTTGTAACCAGTCAATAGCACCACCAACAACAATACTGATTCATTTAAGTTTAACCATAAAAACTAAATAGCATTACCTGTAATAAAATGAGATAATAATGATAACAATGACGATGACAACAATCATAACATTGATAATAACAATGATTATAACGAATCTTACAAGGCGACATTTGTTCACTGCATGCAAGGTATGTCGCCTGTGAAGTATGAAATAGTTTGGAATTACTCTAATTCTGTAAACTGTTACCTGGCATTTCAGGTGGAAAGGAATGGCAGTTACTGGCAGAGCGACTGGGTTTGAGTCCGGCAGAAATCCGTTTCCTTGACAATCGAGTACTAAACCCTTGCGATGCCGCGTTGGCCCATGCTCGTAAACAAGGCTTTATTCGCAGTGTGGGAGAATTGTACGACAAGCTTGTAGAATGCGACTTCCCTATGTGGGCTGATTTGCTGTAAAGAAGAAAGGGTAATAGTTGTTGTCCGAATCATTGTTTTTCTTTGTCGTGAAACGACCTCTTTGAATATTGAACTTGACAGTTAATTCTAGTTTTGACCCTTTAACCCCTGGAGTGACTAGCATCTAATTTCTCCTTAAAAAATCACCACTGAATCATTCATTAATGTCATGAGAATTAAGGAAATGATCGCCAACTGAAGGAACTCTTGATTGTTAGACAAATTCTCCTTATCAGCACCTAAGTAAAGGTACAGAGAATAATATGGAGAATATGAATTCTGATGTTAGGGTGTAAAGGGTTAAGTGATATACAAATCAGTGTTAAAAACAGGATAGGCTCAAACCTAAGGATAGAAGAAATACCGTGATACATTAAGAAAAAAGGAGAGTCCCACTGCGCTCGTAAAGGAAACGGAAGGTTACCCTACACCTATTTTCAATACAATTTTGACATTAGCCTATGGACAGACGTTATTGGAAAGTGCAATAGTTTCCTGCAGCACCTTTTAAAGGAGTGTGAAACACAATTAATTTTCTTTTGGCTCATGAAAGTTTAAAGTACAGTAAAGTAAAACCTTATTTTAAAAAAAACCTCGCCACCTTAAACTCAAGTGAACAATAAACAACGATGAGCTGTTGATCATTGTAACGGTAAATGAAATTAAAATCTATTTCTTGGAAAATTGCTTTGAGTTTGAGTTACCCGGATTACAGTCAGGACTGGATGATATTGTGTTAAGGACAATTTATCATCTATATTTCTTTCATTAATCAGCAATTAAGTAAGATTCGAGATTGTGACGTTTGAGGTTTAGATTACCTATTAGAAAAATGACCGGTCGAACTGATTTTGACATTTTGTATCGCATTTATTGTTCTTTGAACAACCGAAATTAGGCAGGTATTTCAATACACAACAACGACATTCGGTGAAATAATCAGTTTAAGAACTAGTGTTCAAATGACTTGGTTTCGACATGGTAGTATTATGGAACAGCTTGCCACAATATATCTGACGAGGGTCATTAAATTTTACTTCAGCGTCTGTGGAGTAACAAAAAGTGAACGACTTTTGATAGAAGTTAGCTTTATATCTATTTTGGGTAATATTCAAAACTGTAGAGCTGTTAATACTTTTATGACATTAAAAAGATATAAATGGCTGCCAAACCATATTTTGAGTGATGTTTTGCACCTTTAACTAGAGTTAGGCCTTGAAATAGTATAATTTGGTTTCATCACCTAAGGGCTAAACTTTAGCTTTACAATCTGTCTACAGTGGCCAAATCACATGACCCCTCCCCCTCCATCAAGAATTTAGAATGTTCCGGAATGTTGTGACGTATCCATCGACTTCCGCCACAGTGATCAAGTAGTACATCTCACGAGGAATAGCCTATGTGTAGCCGTACCCCCCCCCCCCCCCCCCCCCGCCAAAGTGAAACGGAGGCGAGGCATACCAACTGGCGATGGAAAATCTTTATTATATCAAGCAGCGCCAGTGATCGATCGCCTCACAGAAGACGAGGTGCATTATCTTAATGTACTTAGGCCTAGAGGATTGTCCGTCTTCAACTTTCGGTCTCTTTGCGAACGGTGCTGCGAAACTAAATTAATTAAAGCTAGCTGTTTCTTGCAGCGATTCTTCCGACTGAGAAAAGAGTCGCTCTTCCTCCACGCTTGCAGCGTAACTATCTCTTAAAGAAATATTTAAAATCCTTGAGATTTTGCGGCAAATAATCCAACTCTTTTCGACGAGCATGGAACTGTTTACAAATGCAAGCAGAAACTGCGTGAACGTTGAAATCTAGTTTCGTAAGCGCGATTGTCCTTCTCTAACTCTATACCAAAAATCACTTATAATCTTTTCCTTTAAAGCAAAATATTCATTTGAACTCGGATGCTGAATTGCAAATTTACCCGAAAAATGGAAAATGAAATACACTTCAATGTTGTTCTTTTCTTTCTGTTGTTCTATCTCGATAACCTTCACGCTGACACTTGTCACTTCGCAACAAAACATGAAACATAACAATTTGCATAAACCAGAGTGACGTCACGGAACAGGATAAGTGTCGGGTTTGTGCAGACGGCAGAAATTTTTTTTGGGATCACTTTCTGAAGGAGCTTAGATACCAGGCTCAATTTGGTATCCAAGCCTTCTGATGATTTGTTTACAATTCTATACTCATCTCCCCCAACTGGTTGAAGTGCGATTGGATGGGGACAGGGAAGGGAACATTTCTGTTACTTGCGCGAGAAAAAACAAATGGGAAGTTATCTGTTAGCCCTATTTTTTTTGTCATTTTCGCGTGAAAGAATATTACCTTATCTCGCTGTGCTCTGTTCAAATACGAATCGTCTGCCTTTGGCTAAAATACGCTTTCTTCGAGAATTCTAAACTCTACTCACGGTCAAATGGAACCGAAGGGAATTTCAAACCTAGAAAATACTTGATTCTGAATAGTGTCTTAGTTTTGCTCTCGGTGACGTTTTTCCGAAGGACTCGCTAGATTGCAGAACAATCGCAAGAAGTGCACCTCGTCGAGTACAGGTCTTGAAAATGTATTCAATGTTAAAAGAAATCCTAGCAGGCAAAATTAACCTTTCGGTGAACTACGTAACTGAACCAAGTACTTTTTTTAACGGACCACAAAATTCGTCGTTAGTGTAGTAATCCGCTTATTTATTCTTGACATTAAGCTTATTTCGACTTAATAGAGCAATTGGTATCAATCATATGAAAATACATATTTGACAACTTGATAATCTTGTTAAAACGTCATAGGAAGTTGTACCTTTAAAGAAGCTACGTGTAAAATCTGTAAGGCCTTTTCACTCTTTATAGCGGTAAATTTATATTAACCGTGGAAGCTTTGCACGTCTTAGTCATTTGCTTGATAATTTTTTGACGCTGTTGTGTTGAGCATCCATCTGAAGTGTGCGTGTATGAGTGCTCAGGGTGCAAAGAGTGAAAACAGTACGCAAAACTAATAATTTGGACCCCTCCACCCCTCCCAGCTCCACCCTCTACAAAGATGAGTAGTTTCTGGACCATATTGACTTGAAATTTTACACTTCGTAATTCCTAAATTGACTGATGCCTCACACAAGAGAAAATTATTTTCATATCATATCTGTGCACCAATGAGGCCTTGCATTAATAAAAAGGCTATTCCGGTATGTTCCAATAATGACTTTGGATCAGATGCATTTGCAACAAAGGATGGAAAAAATGAATTATTATTATTATTAACATTATTATCATTATTATTATTGTGTTACATACTCTTAACCAAATTTGAAACTTTACCACTCTCCTCCCCCAAAGCAGCTACGTGTAAACAATATAGGGCCTCTTTTAAAGTCCTCACAGTTTAATGCCTCAAGGCTTGCTGGTTTGGCAGTCAGTGGAAAAGTAATGAAAGAAATACATTCAGTTGGATTTAAATGATTATAATTAAGATTTAAATATCAATTCCAACTGAGCAATGACTCACGATACAGAAAACAAGACATTGATTGCATTATATTAGGTGGCTTGATCCAAATGAGCCAAGAAAGCTTTTTCTTGTTTTGTTTTGTACCTAATCATAAAAAAGCCCCATATTCTGTAATTGTAAGTCATAAAGTGAAATTCAGTACTCTAACTATATTCAATAGACCTTACTGCAGTTTTCAACACCACCTTGATGGGTTGGTAGGCAGGCATGACCTTGCAGTATTTGTATGAGAATCTAGTGTCAAATAATCTTTGTGAATTATATCAGGTGGCTTGATGCAAATGAGCCAAGACAGCATTTTTTTTTGTTTGGTACCTAATCATAAAAAGCCCCATATTCTGTAGTAGTAAGTCATGGAGTGAAATTCAGTACTTTAACTATATTCAATAGACCTTACTGCAGTTTTCAACACCACCTTGATGGGTTGGTGGGCAGACTTAACTTTGCAGTATTTGTATAAGAATTCAATGTCAAATAATTTTTGTGAAAAATTCTGTTTTGATAAAAATATCAGAAATATGGCAAACCTAACCAACAGTTGCAAACGTTACAGGAAAAGGATTCTTCTGTAAAAGAATTTTCTTCTTGAGACTAAAATTTCCTGAAAAAAAATAACAGACAATGCATGGAAAATCTATTACAAACAACAGGGCAAATTCAAGGACAGGTACAGCCATAGCCACTATGAAGTAAGCATCCCTACCACTCCCAAAATGCATTATCAGTTGCCTCAGATGTCCAGGCAATCCAGGCAGTCCAGGGAACAATTTAAACATTGACTCAGCTTTGTGTAATCAGATTAATTGTTGCTAAGTGCATTATTTCATGACAACGTACTTCAACAAGTAAGGTATACATATAGTATATACCACAAAAGCAAATTACTTCTGGTGTTATCACTAATTGAGATATCAGATCAAGAAAGTATAAGTTATTAATAAAGAGTTAAATTTTAGCTGTAAGCTTTTCGAGTTGTTGATTTGACAATTTACTGTACGTTGTAAAATTACAAAAGGAAACACTAAATTTAGGTTGAAAAACACTAAAATACTTACTTACGTACCTTCCAGTCTCAAAAAGTTTTCTTCTTTGCTGCTTTAAAAATTTGAACTTGCGTTTACTACTCGCCAAAGTTCCTTTTATTCTCTAATGTGACAAAAAAGGTCACGCAAGCAAGAAAAGGCTTGGGCACAAATTCAGTAGGCTTGGCTACTGAGTTGAGCCTGGTTTCTAAGCTCCTTCAGACGTTCCCTCGCTTCCGTTTCACCATACGGGGAGGGTACAGCTACACGTAGGCTACATGAGGAACGGAATTTAAAATTTTGATTTGGTCCGTGTTTTACGCAGCTTAAGTTTAAGCAACTTCGATGAACAGACTGAGACATATTTTCCGTGGGAAGAGACGGAGGCGTGATCATGAACCAGGTAATTATAACGGAGTATTCTGTCATGAAACATGTCTTTGGCGGGTTAGAACCCGTTGCAATATTCTACATTATTTATTGCTATGTCTTCCTGAGTCCTTCTTGTGTATTACGCTGCCTATCAAGTGTGCTATCTCTTTAGAAAATACGACCAGTGGTAATACTTTTAATGGCTAAAGAATCAATGTCTAAGGTCACGACCAAATAACTGAAAGTAACGTTGGATATAGGCATACAAATTATTATAAGTCTTGAATCGCATCGATCGAAGTTGTTATGAATCCTTTTCCGTCTGCCGTACAACCAAGGCTTTTGATCAAGTGTGCCACGTGGTTTATAAACGTCTGGTTCGTTCAGATTCTAAGGGAGCGTGAGTGATAGTGAGACAGGCAAGAACCAAAACTTTATAACTTTACGCTCAAGTGGGTTTAATTCAAGGCCAAATTCCACGGCTTACTGTCCTTTGCGAAGCAAAATTAATCCAAACGAAGCGAACTGTTTCAAATGATTTTCAAAACGTTCATACGTAGGGGCCATTCGTTAGAGATTCATAATCTAATGTTTGGTAGTGTGATATAAAGCTTGAAATTTTGGATCGCGCTTTTAAACGAACGGCCGTTGCCATGCTTTGTTGACATACTAAATAACAATTGCAAATTGCAATTGCTCATCCGAACCCATCTTGCGGAAACGAAAAGAGGAAAGAATACTGAGGAACATAATATTTCTCTGAGAAATAAAAGATATTGCTTGCTCAATTAATATAGTTATAGTCTCTTGCGTAGCTTTCTTAGTAGTAGTCACGCAACTCGCTCTTTCAGAAAGTTTGTCACGTGAGGAAAGCAGGTAACGGCAACAATCGGAGAAAGGCTTGTCAGAACACAGGCGGCCCAAGCTCCAGCTGTGAGATGATCATCTTGCGAAATAACAGTCATGGCGAAATTATAAGAGTTTGTATGGGAATATTTACGACCGCTCTAAGGAATAAAAAAAAATAAGTCAAATTCTCGATAAAAAAATACCTCACCTTACTTCCACAGTGCATTGCTTGTTATCTGACCGCTTACTACGTTGAAGGGAACCCGTTTTAGCGTTTTATCCATTTCGAGGTTTACTACGTACATAATAATTTTAAGAAAAGGTGATTTGGAGCTTGGATTTTTCGTTGCTCGGATCGGGCGTTCGGATACGAAGTGGGCTGCACACTCAATGTCATTTCTTGCGATATCACAATATTACGTATACGTACACGTCTTTGACGTTCTACTTTAAAATTGTACTCGACATTGACGTTTTATCATGTGTTATGGTCTAGGAAAAGTAAAACACTCACGCAACAGAAAGAACGGCCGGTTACCTTACTGAATTCCAGGATTGTCGGAAACAGAATAATAGCATAGATATCAAATAGCGATTGTGAAATGTTTGTCTGGAAATTTTGTTATTCTTATGTCTGGAAGATTCGTATCTAGCCAATGAGCGTTCTTTTTAACTAAGGTGTCCCGCAAAGATAAGGAACAATTGTCTGTGATTTATTTAGCTTTCAGTCGAAGTAATCTTTCATATCAGTCGAGTCGAGGAGTTGTGACAGTTGTGAAACCTAGCGAGAATAGAAGAGGAGAAGAATAAAAATCTAGTGAAGACGAGACAGTGTGGGCTATCCTTACTAATTCCCCACAGGATGACTTGGAACATTTTCGACGAAATTTCAAGGTACAGCAATGATCTTTAGATAGAAATGCTCTCCTTTGAAATCTGTTCGAGTAGCCATGATAATGGTTTCTTCTGTTCGCTACTGCGCAGAAAATATTTGTTTAAGTACACAATGCTTCAGGATAAGCTTGAAGTTTAATTAATAAATTTAACCAAATACTTGTCTGAGTAAGTTTGTAACTCAGTCGTAATCCGTAACTCGTACGCTCGGAGCACGAAAATGAGTTCTGGATATTCAAACGACAATCAGGTTTGGTCGTAAAGTTTTGCTTATGTTATGTGATTTGGGCGGTCGGAAGTAACTTTAACTTCCGGTTGCTTAAATTTGAAGAAAATTTCTGAGTCTCAAAGACAAATTTAGTAAGCTCCCACTGCAGTAACGAAAAATACAAAGTTCAATTGATTAATTATTCCTTTCGCACTTGTTAGCTATGAGATAGATTAACAATAAAAGCTAAGTTTTTCGTTGTCTCACGATGTAGTCACGTGTGATGTAGATCGCGACGTTTCGACTGCATACTGCTAGCCTTCTTCAGGCGATGAGGTCGATTGGTGATTGATTGATTGGTGCATTTCGATCCTTGCTGTTCACTCGGTGATTTGCTCCCTCGGCGGTCCGCTGTCGCACGGCTCTCTTGTTGATGTGGTTTTTTGATTGTGGGCATCCGCGCTTCTCGAATTTCTATTCCACTATCCCTGTTGATGTTGTTAGGGTGAAGTATTATATGAATTGCCTCTTTGACCTTCCGCGTGTAGTAATAAGGGTCACGATCAATAAACTTTACTTTGTTCCAGAGTGGCTTGTGTCCGGTGTTGTGGGCATGCTCTGAAACGGCGGAGATCTCGGTACGGGCGAGTCGAATGTCTCGAACGTGCTCCTTAATTCTGTCTTGCATAGGTCTTCCAGTCTCTCCGATGTACACCTTGCCGCATTCACAGGGAATCCTGTAAACTACGCCATCTTGTTTAGCCGGGTCGACAGCGTCTTTTGGTCGTACTAACTGAGATCTTAGCGTAGTCTCCGACTAGAAAACAGCGCGTACGCCTTGTTGTTGTAGGCAGCGGCGAAGCTGTTCGGACAGAACTTTGACATAAGGTAAGATAAAAACATCAACAGGGATAGTGGAATAGAAATCCCAGAAGCGTGGATGCCCACGATAAAAAAAACACACGATCCCCCCTCCTGAAAGGCAAGTTCGGTAATTGTAAATCGGCTGCGACCATAAGCGTAATCCCTGTCAAGTAAAACAAACTCATCTAAAAGATACCGTGAAAAACTTACCTGATGAGGTCCTTCCAGCGTTTATGTTGTTTTTCATCCTTTGGAAAACGAAAATACTGACAGGTATGACTTTCCGATTGATGATTGCAGTCAAGGACGAAACACTTCACCGTGGCCGATAAGATCGTAAACGAATGCGACGATAATCGCCAAAAAAAAAAACCTTTCAACACAGTCTAGAAATTCGTAAAGTTGCAAATCAAAGAAGTAAACGTTTAAAAACTATAGACGAATGTTTAGAGTAAATTAGTAGCACTGAATGTGACTAAACATAATGGCGCGTTGCGTCGATGTGGTTCAATCTCTTCTTGTTATTGGCTCGATCTCGGATTGTTTAGAACCAAAAAAATGGTTACCATAGAACCGTGACATCACAATTTACCACTCTATAGGCGCCTGGCGCTTATTCAAAATTTCGGCTAAGAGGAGGGGTAAAGAGGGCGGCTTAATAGAGAGAGCGCTTATTAAGTTTTCATTTCAGCGAAATGTAACTTAATTTTGGGTAACCTTTAAAAAAAAATAAAAACTACCGCAAAGACGTCGAAGACGTCGTCCATATTAATGTCTTTCGTTTGTTAAAACAATGGTTGGTAGTCAAGCGCACCGTAGTCTTATTCAACACTTTACACACAGATGTATCGGCATGTTCTTAAATATCGATTATCTCATCATTCTCGTCAACGATATGCAGATCGTTGCATTCCTCTTGATCCATTAGGCGGTGAAAGTGAAGACGAAGGGAGGGCACTTTTTCAAGGGGGACACTTGTTCGACATCATGGCCTGGTGGGGAGGACGGGGGAGGGCATTTATTAGAGCGTTAGCACTTATCCTAGGATATAATCGGTATTTACCATCTCATATCCAACATGTGTTCATGGGGTAAACTTTTTCCTGATTGTTTTCAGCCCAACGCAGTGCTCCTCCGGAGCGTCTTCAGTTTAATCTTCCTGTGGATTTTCGCACTGCTGATGTAGTCTACGCAGTGCCTCCAGTCCAAATATCTATGCCGACGGAGAAACCTCTAGATCCTCCAGTTCCGTTTCGGCAGCAGCGGTCTAAAAGTTATCCTAACCTTGATATTTTTAAAGAGGTAAGGTGACATTCTGCCCCTTCTTCCCGATTTTGATTTTTCACTTCGACCATGGCTTAATCTACTTGTTAACAGCAAATAATTTAGAGCACAGTCAAAGGGAGAGTAGCATTTTGGGGCCTTCAGACGACACTTTTCAATATTTAAACCTAAACCTGAAGATGGAACAGGAAACGATTAAAAGTATTAACGCTTGCATTATGATGATCGACAGGCTCGTCAAATTGGAGGAGAAGACGATAACGAACATGAATCAAGTGAGTTTTGTATTTTCCTCGAAAATTAATTGTCTGGTTATCTTTTTGTTAAGAAATACTTACTCACAGATTTCAGAATATTTCAACATTGTTTGCTGTTCTAGTTTATGTAAGGCTTTCACCCGGGGAGACTTTTTCTGTCGCTGGCAATGTTCTTTAAAAAATAATAAAAGAATTTGAGTAGGAAAATGAAACAAGCAACCTACAACTGTACAACTATGGTAGCACGATGGTAGTCTAAAAAGTCTTTAAAGCAACAAAGCAAAACACCTTACAACATTACAGAAATTATTATTTCAAGGAACAACTGTTGAATCGCGAGGTAGATCCCCACCGACTTACACTCCATTCTAACTAGAAATGACAATTTCTAGCCTTGATTCAAATAATAATAGGTCTGTAGATAGTAAATGTCCTTTTTTGTTCTATTTGTTGTTTATTTGTTATCTAATCGTTTTACTATTTTGTTGCAGTTCCTGTGGAAATCGTTGCTCGAGGCCCTAAGGCCCTCGAAGCTTACCATCGAGCCATCGAAGAAGGAAAAACTAGTGTGAAAAGAGTGCCAATCATGTTCATTGGGCAAGGTCAGTCAGGAAAAACAAGTTTAAAGAGATCACTTATAGGAGAGGAATTCAATCCAGAAGAATGCAGAACTATAGGCATCGAAACAGATCCTTCCTATTGTAAAGTATCAACGGAAGTTTGGAAAATGGGAGAGGCAACCCACGAAAGAGATTCGAGCATGGAGCCAATCTCTTTTGAAAAACACACAGCTCAATATATTGTTAGCAGCCTCGAGAAAAACGAACGAAGAAAAGAACTCAAGCCTAGCCCATCTCGTTACGACAATGTACCTGAGAAGAAAGGAGGTCCGTCTTCCCTAAATAATAATTGTGTATCATCCGGTGCACCAAAGGTTAAAGCCGTGCCAGAAGAAATAGCATCATTAGTTAGCAGGCTACTTCAAGTTGTGCGCGTTGACGAAGACAAAGATGAAATCTTTTCAACTTTGTGGGATTTTGGCGGGCAGTCAGTTTATTATTCTACCCACCCACTTTTTCTAACAAGAGGGGCAATTTACCTTTTGGTTTATAATCTCAACCGAGATCCAGAGGAGAAGTCTATATCTCGAGTAAAGCGAGGACTATTCAAGTCTATCAAAGACGTTCTTTCTAAGAAGAGTAATATGGATTATCTCAACTTTTGGATGTCCTCAGTTTCTAGTTTGGTTCCAAACAGTGAGAAGCCTCACGAAACCCCTTCAACTTCCATGCAACCAGAACTGCTGCAGCCCCCAGTTATTCTGGTCTTTACCCATGCTGACAAGCCGTACAAAGGTGCAGATCCTGAAGAGCTTGCAAGTGAGATTTTTGGCAATTTGCAGGAAAAAAGTTATGGTAAACAAATTCTGGACTTCTTTGTCGTAGACAACACTAAATCTGGGAGTAAGGTTGAATGTGAAGAGGTTATTCGCTTGAGGAAAGAGGTGCTTGACATTGCCAAGAAGCTGCCTCAGATGAAAGAGGTTATTCCAATCAAATGGCTGAGATTTGAAAAGGCTCTAAAAGAGACGGTTGAGCACGGAAGCAAATGGATTTACATCGAAGATGCGGAAAGAATTGCACGTGAGGTATGCGGAATTTCCAACGAAGAGCAGTTTTTAGCTATGTTGAACCTCCTACACGACCAGAGAATTTTGATTCATTTTGACGACACCCGAGAGTTAAACAAAATCGTTATTTTGGATCCACAGTGGTTGATAGACGTGTTCAAGGAGGTGATTACTATTCCGCCCTTCAAGAAGAGTAAAAAGGAACATACAGAACAGTGGAAAAAGCTTGAGAAAAGGGGAATCTTGGAAAAGCGACTCTTAGAAGACTTGTGGGATCCTCTTCTTGACACCCGAGAAAATTTTGACGTCGACAGTCTTATCAACATGATGGAGAAATTTGGTTTGTTATGCCCTTGGCCGTCGTCTGACGAGAGTGGGTCACCCAGTGAGTATCTTGTACCTTCCATGTTGATGTCCCCCCCGAAGAATGTCACCGATTTGTTTTCGTCTGCGGGTATTCCATCCCTTTTTGTGAAGTTTAAATCGGGTCAATTGCCAATTGGACTATTTCCTCGCCTAGTCCTGATGGTCATGCAATGGTGCACACGGGAAGGTCTCAACCAAGAGTACCCTAAACTGTATCACAATTTCGTCAGGTTTTACACACACCCAGCTAAAGGCATCTCTTTGATCCTTCTCTGCCGTTCCTCTTTCATTGAAGTTGTCGTTCATCATGGGAAGTGCAAGGCAGGGGCTTCCGAGAATGAAAGGATGAATCTACCATCTGTACTTAGCCAAGACACTCCCCAAGTAGATTTTGCTCGTATTGTGTGCCGACAACTGGGACTGATTCTCGAATGCATGCGGAGGGAGTTTCATTGGTTAAAGAACATGGCTTACGAAATGTCAGTTTGCTGTCCAATTTGTTGCACAAGAAAGACAGTGAAATATTGTGACACCCATTGTGTAAGTGACTGCAAAGAGGAAGAATGTCTGCACTTCTGGTCAGAGTCACAGTTGCTTGATTGTCAAAGGCCTGTTGTATGCACCAGGCGTGTTGATGCTGGAGAATACAGGGTTGCACTTGAGCCCTTCGCATCATGGTTTCCAATTTTACATAAAACGGTAAGTTAAGGTTTTGTCAGTGTTCATTAAGAGTTACTTATTTCCATACCAATGCCTATCATCCATCAATAATTGTTGCCTAAGTGCGATTGGTCTAAACACATCATGTGACCGGTTATTCCCTTGTTAAAACAGGGGATACCCGACGATAAAACCCAATCTTCAAACCTTACGTCTACTACGAAAAGTCTTCGTTAAAATTTAATTAGAGATGAGAGAGGGTTTTTTGGTTGTTACAGAAGAAATGGATGTTGTTTTGCAACTCATCCACATCCACGTACCAGAAAACACTGAAAAGTGAATATATGTCACACGCAGTAAACGGTGAGCTATTCATTAACATGTTCTTCCTACGTGCAGGATAATAAACACAATAGCCTCCATTTGTCCAACGACAAAGAACCGTGCATATTTTCGCGCCAAATGCAGGCTATTGTTTATTCATTGTATCGAATGTACCAGGAAGGCCATACTTTAAGGCAAACGTCTTTAGAGAAAATATCTACTTTCTCTAAATCTCAATATTTGTGACTTTCAAAGTTTTGTAAAAATGTCATTTCACTATTATAGCGATCCCTTCGTGGGAAGGAAAGTAGTAAAGGATACCGCTAAACTTAAAAAACGAAATTGCGTGTACTATCAACGATAGAATGCAAGAAAACAGTACAACAACAACTTACACAGAGACGAATTATTGACATAATAATTATGAAATCAACAGAGAGTCACTGGCGAGGGCAACCAGGAATCAGCTTTACCTTATACGGAAGGTTAGTTTCTGCATGTAGACTTTGTAGTTACTGAGCGGTTCTCCAAACGATGCATTAGCCATAAATTTGTGCCACACGAACGAGAGAGTGTTTCTTACGGTCCCTTGGTTCCGCTTTGTCATTGTTATGCATATTTCGTCTGTGTCATTTCATCAGGTAAATTATATCGAACGTCAAAGTCGTGTTAAACCGGGTTTGAGATGTAATTAAAGTCGGAGTGCATTTCCTTGTTTAAACGCAATACAGGAGCATGGTCCACAGTTTGTAAGGAAAATTGGAAGAGGAAAAATTGAAACTTGAAGTGTAGGTATCGTAATAACAACTACACAGTTTTGGGTGTTAATCCCGTTGAAGCCTGTTTTTGTTGGACTTTATTTTCAAACCCACTAATGTTGCGCATCGTAATATGAATAAGATGATTATTCTTCTATTGATGAATATCTTTGTCAAACCCGTGTTGTTTAGATTTCAAACCAAGCGTGTAAGATGAACTGAACCGTGAAAATATTTGAAGGTATTGAGCTAAGGTTTTACTTCATCGATATTTTAGGGGAAGGCGAACAAGCCCTTGTCCTCCCCGATGGGCTGGTTCAAGCCCTTCAGTTGAGGACAAGCAATGCAGACGATGTTGTTGCTCTATTTCACAAAAGTTTATCATTGGACCTAGCATCTTTAGAACAGCCAGATCCAGAGACAAAGCGTCAAATTCGCTGCATTTGTTTAAAAGCCAAATCTACAGATAGACTTGATGTTGTAAAACGATTACGAGAGATAGTACCTGCTGGTACAACAGGTAAAGTGTTTGGGAGATCTACAGAAAGCAGACAATTGGAGTAGTTCGTACTCCTTTCTTTTTAGTAACGGTAATAGGGCCGAGTGGAGTCCAATTCGGTCTGTAATCATACGAGTGATAACAAAATCGTATGATTACAGACTGAATTGGACGACACGAAGTCTTGTTTCCGATTGATCATAAAAATTACAATTTCAGAGAAAAGAAGAATAGCCAAGTTGTAAAAGAAAAAGAAAATTTGCGTTAATAGACTGACAAAGGAGGCGTAGATTATTTAAGGTTGTGATTGGCTGATTTAAACTTCAACTTTGAATGTGATTGGTTGATTTAAACTACAACTTGGAATGTGATTGGCTTATTGAACTTTCCGATTACAAACTGTCCGATAACAACCTGGCAAGTGAATTAGTGGAAAATATGGAGTTTTTTAAACCAATCACAATCGAGGAAGTTGTAATTGTTATGATTAAGAACTTTATCAGATTAATTAATTAACCGTATTTTGATATGAAATAGAGATACTACACTTTCTTCCATTCGATGACCAAGCTTAAAATGTACCATTTTCTGAAATGTCTCTACATACATATCAAGCGTTAGAAGGCAATGCTGATCTCAACTTGACGTTTTGGAGTCGGTTAGTTCGAGTCCAAGTCGTCTTCCTGAGACCTGTAAACAGCCGAGTAGTAAGCATCCCGTGAAGACTGCTTTTTAATTTCTGCTACTCCACTTGATTAATTCTTTACAGTAACCTCAATTAATACGGAGGTGAATGATGCATAACTTGTTTTGTCTTTAAGAATGACAATGATTTCCTTTTACTTCTTAGGTCCTTTGTTGCCTGATATTTGCGACGTTGCAAATATTCCCAATATTCAAAGATTTAATTTGACAATTGCCTTGAGTGGTGAGCACACTATTATAGTGACTTCATTGGAAGTCTTTCAACAACGGCGCCGCAATTCGCATTTCAATTCATTGTTAGATCAAAACCAAAGGAATCACAACAATAAGTTAGGAAAGAGGGAAATGCTGCATGGGGCGAAAGTGAATTCAAAGTCAAGACGAATAAATGTTTCGCGGGCTGACGCAAATGAACAAGTCGCGTTTAATATTTTCTCAGTTTACATCTGATTGGTCCACTTGATGGCGGGAGTTCTTTAGATTCATCGTAGAAAGAAGAAATGCTTTTGTTTAGCGATTCCAGATTATTTGCGGCACCCATTTCCTAATTGATCCAAAATGAGCAAATGCAAAACAATGCTTTTAAACCGAAGGTGCGTCTATTTCTTGCTCTCGTGCAACATAAATGTGTGGTTAGTATCACTGTTCAAATTATTTGATGTGCTGGGTCCTACACACCAATTCACAACAATGTATTTAAGATATTGGCTTGTGCATTCAGTATGGAGTAGTTTCGTAACAATTCCAATACTCTAAAATTTTACTTGGAATTTCAGGTGGAGATGAATGGAAATTATTGGCGGAGCGACTGGGTTTGAGTCCGACAGAGATCCGTTTCCTTGACAACCGACTAATAAATCCTTGTGACGCCGTGTTGGCTTATGCTCGAGATAAAGACTTCATACGCAGTGTGGGAGAATTATACGATAAGCTTGTAAAATGTAACTTCCCCGTTTGCGCCGATTTGCTCTAAAGACTAACTTGGAATCGCTGCTGTCTAAACTTTTGTTTTCCTGTCGTGAATTCAGAACGACTTCTCCTATCTTTGCTGGAACTTACCATTTTTTTAGTGGTTAATTCATAACGCATGGCAGATTTTAGAACAGGAATGGCTCAAGCCTAGTTAATTTTTTTTCATGTTTAAAGTGCCATTACTTTCGTGAAGTAAACGGCAAGTTAAATCACCTCGGTGTTGAGATCATTTTTATTACTTCAGAATATCGGCTGATGTTTATGGTAATTGTTATTGTTTTACTTAATTTCTCAAAGAAAATTTAACACCATTATACTATACCAAGCTTAATTTGATACAATAGACAGTGATGCAAAGTTATTCTTCATAAGAATATCCTTTAATGCAAAGTCTCAATTCGAGAGTTCCAGGGCTTAGAAAATTACATAGTTGTCAGTATAAGTGTATTATAACTGGCTGCCATGCAGGTGAATCTGAAAAAGTCAACAAAAGCCAATTGCATTTAGAACAAGGAGCCAGGATCCTGCCTAAGTGAAACAATTAGTTTAGGGTATCGACATACGCAGCGACAGGATCTTATATATCGGTAAACCATGTTATTTTTGTAAATGTTATCGTGATATGGCATCTCAATTGCGAATGAAGTGTAGGTAAAACGATTATCGCCTATAGAAGAAGAGTCACGTCAAAAAACAATTAATGAATTTTAAAAGAAAAAAGCTCTCTCTTTTTTCTACGCAAGCCTACTCTCAAATTCTTTTATGATCACGGTTACCAGAAGCGATGTAGGTAGTATTTCAGTTGTAGGATTAACCAAGTTTTAAATACCTACAGCCTTTTGTTTTATTAAATGATCATTGATGTGTAATTGATATGTTTTAATTTGCTGGCGTAGATTTTTAGAAATCACAACCCATGGAGCCGGTTGGCCTCAGTTTAAGTGGAGGTTAAAATTGTCGAAAATTCCAAAAGTTAGGAAAAATTAGCACATGACTCACCAATTTTTCAACATGACTTGCACCCTATCTTTATTTATTTTAAATATAAAGTCATTTTTATCATCATATTGGAGTGCCAATTTTTGTAAGTAATTGTATACCAAAATTGAGGTACACTCGAAAGATAGCATGGTTTATAAATAGGCATCTACCTGTTTAGAGATAAAACAATTAGGTTGAAAAATCCTATTTGGTCTCCCTAGGGAAAATGTTTCACTCGCATGAGGTAACAAGAAGCGATACACGATTGACTAGTTCAGTACTATATTAGACTTCGTCGAGACTAACACGTTTTCCGTTCACCCTCTGTTTTGATCGTTTTCAGCAATATCACGTTAAACTAAAGTGCGATCAAAGTTGAAGTAAATGTTTTGCCTTAGCTCTGGGGAAAGTGACCTTAGCCCGCGTTGAGCCAGAGATCACGTTATCATCTGGCGTCAGACGTTTGAGAAAAGTGATCGTTTTCAGTACAAGTTGCACTACTTGGCCTGAGTTTTCTAAACACTCTCGCTACAGCATGAGAAAATATATTTTTATATGTAAACTTGACAGGAAAAAAGCATATCTCCACATCCAGCTGGAACAATCCGGGCAGAAGTTCGTGTATCATTTATATCGATCAAATGTCAACTGAAATTGCTTCTCCAGCTCAACGGCCCAACATATGTTAAAAAGTATATTCATTCAGTGCTCTTCTTCTTTAACATGTTCTCCATTCATTATTGACTAATTTAGGGTAAACGCTTTTAAAACTTTTAACTTTTATTTACTTCGCTTGTTTGACTTCTTTCATGGTGTGGAGTACAGCTCCAAAGCACATTGCACAGACGCATCCCATGACAACGAACAACCATTTGGTCATGTTTTTCGATCCATGATCTGGAAAACAATAACGATATATTTTGTAAATAGAATAAGAAAGATGGTAAGTTTTGAGCTCGGAAAAGAAATCGAGAAAGATGTGCTTTATCGTCTAGTCAAGATCGTGGGCCTAGAAAAAATTCTGATTCCCCATGAGGAAACAAACCTCAGACATTCGGAGACCTCATGGGGACTCAGGATTTTTTTCCTTATCCCACGCTCGTGAAAAGACGGAAGAAACATATCTCTCAATAAGACAAAGGTAAACTTTTGATATGGTCGAACATTTTAGCCCAATCTTTTAGTCTGAAGTAAATGAAAGTAATCATGACGTCTTGTCCGCCGCCATTAGCAAGCATGAACCCAATTTCACCATGTATAATTTAAGACATTCCAAGTAACTTTACTCTCGGCAAACCTGGGCAATACCTCACCTAAAGGACCATCAGGCCTTAAGCTGACTTTATCTTTCACCTTCTTTCTCACCAGAGTCCGTCTTTCCTTTTTTAATTTAGAAAATTCCTACCAACTTTTCTCTAGGTATGCCTGGACCAAAAACCCCGCCAGGTTCACCTTTCACTTTCTTTCTCACTAGCGTCACTCATACCTCGATTTTCTCGAAATTCTTCCGCATTCTCTGGTTCAAAATTATCCTCAGGATCCCTTAGAATTATTATTGGCCCTTTTTCCAGGTCGTAATAATCTGTATTGACCTCCCTCCTCAGTCTAGTATTCACATGAGGGTCACATTTCTGCATGCAGCTGGGCTTGCCATCTGTCAGGTTACATAGGACGACTTCACAGTGAATGTAAACGTAAGGCACGACCTGGCCATTCATGAACTTAAAAGCTTCTATGCTAAAACGTTGCGTGGTGGGAGGGCCGCTGTGAAATCTCACGGTCTCGTCTTTTGGACACCTTAATTGTAAAAAATAGTGTATCAGAGCCGAAAGTCGCAATAGAGCGCTTCTCGACAGAGTGTTGTAAAATCTACACCAAAAAAATCACAACAACCAATCAGAAAAAAGGAAAATAACTTAAAGAGCCAATGAGAACTCAAAGTAAAACCAAACAAACTGCCTAAAGCACGGGAAAATATGGGCGACCAAGTCGTGATCAGTTTTAGTTTTGCATCTGATTGGTTGACACAGTGGCGCATGGTTTCTGGACCAATCACAATGCGAAATAAAGCGAAACCAATTATGGTCAGCACTCAATTGAAATCTACTCTAACGGCACACGGGAATGATAAATTCAAGAAACTCTCCATTGATAGCCTCAGATATAACAGCTTTTTGCCCCCCCACCCCCACTCCAGCACAACTGAGTCCGCTTGCCCAGAGAGAAGAGGGAGGTTTGGTAATCAACCAAAGCACACATAATTGACCCTTTGGAATTCTTACATACTAAATTGTTCAGGGATCTATCATTCAAATTGGTTTATAGCATAGCTATTAAATTTGTCTAATCAAATTCAATTGCGTGAGCGTGCTTCATATTCCTATTGTGCACGCTCATGACGTCAGCCAATGAAACAGCATCTTTGTTTTTCTTTTAGGTAAGATAATTTTGTATTCAATCAGAAAATAAAGTTCATTCACACGCATGAATTCACCAATCAGTTTTTTGACCAATCTAAGACAAGATCGTTTACAGCGTAGCAAAATGTTTGCAACAATCATTGATACTTACCCGTCAACGATGATGTCATACTTGATTTTCTTAGAAATACTGTTTATAGGCGTGGCGTAGCACGTGTCTGCGACGATACCCAACCGCGTGTCAGGCGTGTCTACTGATACTTGTAAGTAAAGTCGCTGTTGCAGTGTAACCGCCAGTGGAAAACTACTGTACTCTTCATCATAGTCTACGCTCTGCATTGTGAAACAAAGCACGTAAAAACGCATTCATCAGAGGTGTTACTAAGGATTGGATGAAATCAAAGGTAGAGTGAAGAGAGTGCACTACAATGATGGAGGAACAGGGGCCAGTCTTAAGTTATCGCCTGGAGGGGAGTCGGATGATTTTTGGGGGATCACACGGTATTTAGGGGTAACGAAGGGGGAGCAGTCGTCGCTAACAAAGTATAAAGGAGAGAGTATGGAACATTGACTGTCGACGAGGAGCGATCCTTGGAATACTCCACACACTACAACATAGTTTAGTCGCATTGATATTGGCTTCGCGTTGTATTAGCTAATGCACTGTGTATAGGTAATTAGATAATAACATGATTTCGAGTGCAGTTTGGTTTAAATAAGACGAGTGGATTTTTCAGAGACAACAAAATTGTACGAGCCCGTAGGGCACCAAATTGCAAGCAATGTCTTGTTAGTAATGTACATGAAAAAACATCGCACAGAAAGTAAAGACTGACGACATTTTAAAAGCGTGCGCACGCTATTTGTAACTTGAACTCGTGTTTCAACTTTGCACTCGTATTACATGAGAATGCACTCGTTTTCAGCCAATCAGAAGCGCGTAATGTTTTTTAGACACATTATCACTGCGAATACAAGTTGAGAGTGAATGCTCATGCACTCTGATATATCAGTGCATCCCTTCGCACCACATAATCTCCTTGTCCTTTCATCCGTACCTTATAAATATTCAGATCCAGATCAAACATTCCAGAACCATCGTCAGGTGCCAGAAAAATGACTTTGGTGTTTGTGATGTTCATCTGAATCAATGAGGCTTCAGCCTGGTTTGGATAAGTACACTCAAATGGAATCTCTAAGTCCTGAGAAAAAAGATAATAAGGAAATGGACACAAATAAATCACGTTCAAGATAAGATCGTGAAAAGAAGAATTTTTTGTGAAATGTAGTTCTACTAGAGATAATACAACAGTTATCAGCATTACATGCACATAATATCTTAGTAACACGCATAAGTAGTTTTTTAGTAACGATTATCAAACGAAATTTACCGCGAGGTGTCCCATCAAAAATTGTACCCGATAAACACTCAACCTTTAAACTCCCAACAACTGATCGTCAATTCTCCCCTCTAGCTGCTACAAATTTCCTAGTAAATCATTTACAATACTTTGGTATTAGATCAAGATAACATCTTCTACCTAACATGTTTAAGTACTCTAATTACCTGTTTGCTTCATAATGGATATAGGGATACTACAGAGAGAATTTACCTGTTAATCACTTCTGGGAGTTGAAGAGTCAAACTATCTGAACTTAAAAACAAACAAAAAGAAAACAAACCTGTAATCGGCTGATAACAGACTGAGTCACCCGAACATCCTTGACCATATTTCTGTAAATTAGACTGTCTTTCGTATGCTCTAACGTGGTACCACAGCCAATCAACGGTGCAGAAATGGTCATGTGACTGCTGTTCTCGAATTTTGTTGGCTGACAGTTAGGATCTAATAAGCGCACGTCACTCATTTTAAACTCTGGTATCAGGGATTTTTCTATGTGAACTAACATTTGGTCGAAATCACAGTCAACAGTGACTTGCTTGTGAAGTTCAGCTGAAAAATATTGCAAAAATTTTAAACATTGTCTGTTTTTATGCATTAAAGGAATACGAGTTGTTCTTTTGCATGCAATCATGAAAAATACATGCCTTAAAAACTGGGAATTTTCCATTTGAAATGGGGGTAACTGTGCCATAATCTTCCGTTGGTTTGGGAAAAGGATTCTAATATCCATGTGATTACAAACAAAGCGACTTATCGTAACCACAGTCCTTTGAGTAAAAGATGCCACTTCGTCCAGGTTTGTTATACAGTGAACAAGGGAAGCAAAATTGGTCCATATTGACCTTTACCCGGCCCTCTCACCAGTTAGAGCCTTATTGATGAGCAGGCTGTGGCCCAGCGGTTGCTGGAGGTTCGAATAAACTAAAAAGAAGTACTATGGAGTACTGGAAAGGAATCTGAGTGTGCGATCTTTTGGGAGGATCCGGGTTAAGATTTGTGATCCAAGATCACACAGATCACGGTGCATCAGAGGAACGGAGCTTTATTTCATCAGATCAGTTACCATGACAGCAGGCGCGAAATTGTAGAGCGCGTCAGAAGAATAG